ATTGGCAAATGCGGGTAGCATGTTCTAGACTTTTTTTTAATCATGATGGCGCAATATAGACTCAGATTTTCCTTTAAAAAAAAACTCATCCTCTTGATTAGCTTCCAGTGAAAAAATTGCTATCATACCTCATAAAGTAGGTAAACGTGGTAAATTGTGACTTGAAAGTTTAGGACAGAGAAAGTTATAGTGCACTTTTTTTCGTTTTTGACGAAAGATTATGTTGATTAGTGGTGTTTTTTGTGAAGAATTTACAAAAAACCAAACTTCCGGCGTTAATACCAATGGTCCTGCTGTAGTTTTGCAAGTTTTCAGCCGAAAATATAAACACTTGTTAAACAGTAATTAGAGCCGCAATTTGAACATAACGGATAACCTGAGGCTCCCAAAATTACGAATATTATGATTTTCTTTATAAGATATAATTATTATTTGTTTCTAGTAAGAGACTTAAAACAATCTAAGAAAATAAATGTGCCATATTAAAAAAGTATATAATTTAAATGCGCCAGTACGAAATGTCTCATTCAAAAGAGTTATTAATATGCTTCGTTCATAAATTATTACTGGTAATATTAATGCTATATGTGTTACAAATAATAGCCACTTTCCTGCGGGCCATGAGTTATGGTTATGACGTTATGAGAGATCCCGTGCTCCTAATGTGCTCTTTCTTATCCATATGAATCCTAATTAGAAGAAATTATTGCCTTTGATGTATTCATGTTATGAATATTGAACAGTATGCCATTTACCTAATCCATTTTATGGCTGCAGTTTGTTATAGTGATGGGCTGTAATACACACCTATAATTACATGTGAGGTTCACTTAATTTATTATTATTAATACTATAAGCACAAATTGGCTTCAGTGCAGAACTGTCAGAGGTAACAAATACAAGTACATATTATTTTTATATCATGTATTGTTAAGCTGACAAACGTATATTATAATTGTAATTTATTTCCTTTTAACTACTGTACTTATGTTTCTGTTTTCTTTTCTCAACACATGCTGTAAATCTATCAGTTTTTATGAGTTTTACTGATGAATCTTATTTGCTTAATACTTCAAAACCGACTACACATTTCAAAGAAATTCTGGTCTTGATTTAAAGAAAGCTCAGAATAGATTGAATTACAATCAGGTCATTGGTCTCTTCAGGAGATTACCAATGTCGAAAAATTAGATGAAGAAAAACCTTTCTCGAAAACATTTTAGATTTATTTAAAAAAAAAAGTCCGTTCTACAGAAAGTCAAATTTTAGTAAAATTAAGCAGTTCACCTTTGAATGCGTTTTTTTTTTAATTTGTCGTAGTAATTTTAGCATTCTAGATTGTAAGTTTCCGTTTTTAGTATGTAGTACATATACTGCTCTTGTATATGTACACATAAGGCCAAATCTTAAAAAGCTGTATCTGGCACGTTGACATGGGATTTTAGTATGTATCCTTGCTACAGGTGTAGTGTCATTTAGGGTCTCTTTACACACTTATTACCGTCTTTAATGGACACAAAAATAATCTTTCGATGAGACGTTCATTCAATAGTCTAAACACATTGAATTCTCAAAATATAATAAAACACACACAGAAGTCAAATTTAATGAAATCGACTGCAATTGCTGTAGTAGACAAGTTGAGATGCATACAAGGCGAAATTTTCTACAGCACTTCAAGCAAAAAATGTACTACTACCATACACATTTCTATTGCAATTTGTAAGTCTGGAATCATCCACTTAACAAACACTGCGTCACACTGTGCTCAAATAAAATCCCGCTGTTCAATAGGTATCACCCTCTCTTCTGTAAGTCAATGTCGTACAGCTTTATCTAAAAAGTGATTCATATCTCCCACTGTTTTTTCACACTATAGCACTTTCCAGCACCCTCGGTTTCATAATCGGTGCCTTGTTGGATATAAATTCACCAATGTAAACAGAGGTTTCCTTGTTTCAGTTGATCACTGCGACCAACAGCATTAAAATTCTATATCAGTGGTGTTTTAGAACCATACATATTATTTTAAATTAAAATCACCGTTCTGCATAGTATCTAAATTTTTTCGGGAAAATACATTCAGAAATTCTTACCGAATACTATACGAAATTTACCTTACCTTACCTTATATTTTGAAGACTACAAAATAATGTATCACGATAATTTTTTAACAGTTCTCTGCCAAAGTCACAATTATATATAATAACTAGCCCTTTCTCTCCTTGTCGACATTTATGTTTCCCTGGTTGGAAACATGCGATATTATACCTTCTTTTTTTATCCTACTGATTTAAATAAAAGTCCGTACGGTTTCCTTTTTTATAACTTACGATTTATTAACCAATTTATATGAAATTAATATATCTGGAAACTACAAAATTTGATCACGCCTTAAAGAAATACTGAAACAATATTCCAAATTGCTTCTCTTAAAATTTAATTAGTCGTCACACCAGGAATGCGCCTGAAGGGGCATTAAAACACTATTGAAGCACCCTCCATATTATTATATCGCACCCTCGCCCTTGCTTACTCGCATTTTCTCCCCTTTTGCGAGACACCCCACCCTATCCTAACCCTACACAATTGCAGTCGAAACGCTTTTCAGACAGATCTTCCAAAAAAAGGGAGCACTAATCAAATCGCCCCTTAACCTACATTACAATATAGGTCAAAATGAGGAACCCTGCTTTATTAGGGTAACGAAAAATCGATGGCATATATCCATTCATCTCGATGAAAATTATAATCAATGAATGTTACTATTACAACTGTATAATCAGTTTCTACGTAAAAACAACCGCGACTGTTTACGTTTAAACATTGTCTCGTATATTACCATATCATCGGAAATTTTCCACAAAGTGGCTGGTGGTAAAGCTTATTAAAATCAGCAGGTGCAAGACCTACATGCGATGCATCACGATGGACATTTATTTGATTTTGTGCAGATGTTGTAGGTAAGTATAAATATTGTTAAGGGGGCGTCAAACGTACTTGTTTCAAGCTTCCTCGAGATTTCAATGGTGGTCATTTGAAAGGCTGCGATTGGTTGTTTTTTTGCATTTTAGTGTAATAAAAATGGCCAAATGAATGATACAATGTGCAGCACAAATTATAAAGAAGTATTTACTTCAATAGACGTGTCTTGATGGGAAGCGTTCACGACACCGCAACACAGTTTGCAGAAATTGATTGAATTCTGTAGATTGTAGAACATTTTGTCGCAAACAATACAGAAGATTTGTTATCGGGAAACGATTAAGGTTATGGTATGGTTATTAGTACCGTATAAGAATCCTCCAAGAGCGTAACAAGGACCTAAAATTGAAAAGACGATTACTGATCCGCATTTATACACAGCAGGATTTACTCTTCATAATGTGGCAAAATACGTGAATGATCAATTTAACCTTGAAGATCATGATGGTGAATAACCTGTTTGTGCTCCTCCACGCGAAAATGTTGCTAATATTCGAAAGTTACATCAACACAAGAATAATTAACAAAAAATTTGAAATTGGCTTATAAAGTTCCAACAACTAAAAATGGCGACAAAGAGCCAAAAATACCAAATAACAATGCTTTCCTTTAACGTCATATTGAGAATGATCTATCTGTTGGCCGAAATTAGTCCAAAATAAAACTTTACAAAAATAAGGGGAGTCCGACATTGTTTTTCACTTATCACAATAAAACCACCACGGTCTCATTGGATATGATAAAAAAAAATCGAAATAATTTAAACTCGTTCGGTTTTTCTTACCTGCTATTGAAATCTCCCAACGGGAGAATTAAATTTTTGTGGTTTCTTCATTTATAAAGGTTAACATAATTTGCTCAAAGAGGTCGCATGTTAGTTCGATCGTGACTTAAGACCTGTTTCTAATGATACTTGGCACTTTACGACCCAATGGAAATGAATGGTTAACTACACACAAAAATCCTGCAAACGCCCTAATTTGAGTTGTCTTGGTCGACCGCCGCTAAGAGAAACTATATCTTCGTTACGAAAAGGAATGGGTCCTGTTTTTTCTCCTTTTTATCATTATTTGAAAGGCCTACCTTCACTTTATAGTATTTAATAAATTTGTAGATATGTAACAGAAAATAAATATTTGTGTCAACACTACATATTAATATTATTTTATGATTACTGTTATCACATGATCGAAATATACCAATACAATATGTGAAAAAGACACAAATTATATAAATACTCCAAAGGTAAGTGTAATAACAAGAATAGCATAGATATAAAGAGAGAAAGTTAAAAATTATATTAAAACAAAAAATACATAATCATAGACACAATACCAGATTTTTCGTTATCCTTATCAGATATTTCTACATTCTTTCTTTCCTGTTAGTTTTATACCTTTTAAATTAATTCTTGGACTTTGTCTATGCACTCATGAGGATTGTATAAAGTAGAGTTCGCCAAATAGTGACAGTGATAGCCCTGACCTTCTCTACGATTGGTTACCTGAACAGAACAAAGTTTCTATGAATTAGATGTGCATGGACACAGTTTAGGTTATGATACTCAACAACGTCCGATTCGGACAAGCAACCCAAAAGCAAGTAAGCGTCGTAAATCATTAGCATTATAAGATTGAACAATTTATTTGTGTTTGTGCATTTAAGCACTTCAGTTTCTTAGTATTTCAGCTAATATGGATAGGTATATAGTTGCATCAATCTTTGTATTTCGATTTCTTATAACTTGCCTCCTGAGCCAAAGACGCGGATTTGCTTCTATGGTAAGTATGAATTGGCTTCGTTTGTCTTGTTATAGGTTTTTGTATTTTTTCATTTCTTCTTGGGTTAATTGTTCTTATTTACTTGTCATCATCATTTGATGGGATTAAATATGTTAATTGATATATATTATATAATAATACTAATTACAAGTTGCCTAAACTTTAGGACAATCAGATGCACTTACCTATAATGCCTGCTCATTGAGGACATAAAAGATTTATTTTTGTACTTACCTATAAGAACGTTTAAGTAAATTATATAAAGCTTAATTAGTACGCTGTCTTCTGTGGAATCGTACTCGATTCTTTGAGTAAATTATATTTTGTTTCCAGGGCAATTTATTATTCCATTTTGATAGGCATCTGTAAGAAAAGACATAGCATTATAACTGTTGACATCTTTTTTTTTCAGAGAAAACAGGTTCATTGAAAGAAGTGTCAACATTGTTTTTGGTCATACATTACCTCAGTGCATATGTTTGAATAATGTAACTTTTATTTTACGGGAACTGACTTTACTGAGTTTCTATCTTCACTACGCAGAAAGTGTGAAACTTTCAAAGAGGATTAAACAACTCAAACTTTTTAATTTACCTACCCTTTCCTCTGTCTGTAAGAATCTGTCATTTTGCGATATAGTCATCTCTTAGTAAAAGTGAGTCATTTACTTATAATATTACATTACTTTCAATCTTTGATGTATCTTTTATGTAGTTTCCATGCGATAGGTAACGGAAATACATGGGATTTTTTTATGCCATCATGAGAAAAAAATCTCTGTCCTCGTAAGTATTTTTTCAACTCAGAAAAAAGAGACACGTTGCTGGGTGCTAGATTCGAACTATAGGGTGTATGTTTCAATTCCTGCAAACCTCATTACCATAATTCATCGAATTTTTGGGCCTCATGCCCTCTGCAATTGTCGTGCAACAGTAAAGTTTTTTTAGACAAATTTTGAGGTCTTTTTTTCTCGATTGAGGACGAAGATTTTTGATGATCTTAATTATATAAAAGTGTTTGTTCTGACTGACAGACTGACTGATTCATCAACTAAACTACTGACAGTACTGACAGTAGGTTCCTTTTGTGTTATAAACACACACTAAGAAAGGACTTTTGGAAATTCCGCCCTTAAGGGGTTAAAACAGGGGCTGAAAATTTGTGTGAGAGTCCCATGGATTTTTAAGTTAAAATATAAAATTGTGCTCTTCTTTTCAACTAATAGAATCTCTTCTCAATCCCAGAAAATAGTTGCCTCAAGAGGTCCAGATTTTGGATCATCTTGAATGGATCCCTGACCCCAACGAAATTGTTTGGACTAGAAGTTTACTCGGTAATATGATGGGCGCCTTCACCATATTCGGTAATCATTATTTCATGGATAATTTTTGAACCATTACCTTCTTTAGTCAAAAATTTTGTAACGCTTCTGTGTTTCAATTTAAAATGACCCACTTTTTAGTAAAACTACACAAATCTTTCAATTTTAACTCCACTTATAGTCAAAATACTGTTACGAAATAAACCTATACCCCACCCCGGTACGTATGGGTTTTTTAGTATGTGCGGCAATGATGGGTGACTCAGCGTCGGTGACGGCGCCAACGGCTAGACGACGTTCGCTAAAGAAAAGCCTGAAAGCGGAAGTCGCGATGGGTGCTCCAGAACAACCCTAGAAACGGTAACAGCGACTTTTCGAGAAGCACCGCGTGGGTGTTTAAATAGGAACCATCGTCGGGAGCAATCAGTGAAGTCCAGACAAGGGAAAAGTAGAGTCTACATAATCAAATCCATTCCAGTCAGAATTATTCTGTTTACAGGGTGATTCAGCGTAAATGACGAATTTGATTTAGTCCTATAGGCACCCCAGAATACATTTTTCTTCTATTCCTTGATTCATATTAGAATATAAAAAATATCATCAATTCAAGTTTGCATTCTTATGTCACTGTCAATTTTGAGCAGAGTGAGAAATATAACCAATAAAGACTAACAAGTTCTAGCCGTTACATATGCAGTTAATTCATGCACTACGTGAGACTGACAATACTTCCCGAGCGTAAGCAAAGGAAGTATTGTAATCGAGTCCGTCGGCCGACTCTCTACTTTTACGTTTTCTCGACCTTTCATGGCCCCTAGAGTACGAAGAAATAGGTTTCCCTTTTCCGTCTGTCTGTCCGTCTGTCTGCCGTCCCGTATTTTTATTAGACAGATAATCTCCGAATGTTCTGGGCCGATTATTGTCAAAATTTGTATGCATACTAATACTTAAATTTTGTATTTATATTAGGAATATCATGTAGATGGTAAAACGCTAACCAAAATTTGCCTAATCATCCCCACCAATCATGTGATGACGTCACTTCAGAATTGCACATAGTAAATGGGTTTTAAATTGTATGAAATAACATAGTCATGAAACGTCCAGATTTTTGGAAAAAAAAATCAAAACTATAAAACAATATTTTGCAATTTAATTTTGAATCGGCTAAACCGAATGCTTTGAAATCTTGGAGATGATTTACAGTTATGATAAGTATAATAAATTTTTAATCAAAATATATTTACTTATCCCCTCCAAAAAATTGATGAAGTCAGCTCAAAAGTTTGCCGAATAAATGTACAATATATAATGAGTCTTTCCTTGTGATTTATCATTCCATTCATATTTTTGGGATTTGCATATACAGGGTGACTCAAAAAAATTAATGAATGCGTGAATTTATTTTCTTGATTTAATCAGGAACTACAAAACCGAACGCTTTGAAATCTTGGAGATGTTTTAAAGTTCTCATAGGGATGGGAAATTTTTGATCAAAATGTATTTGTTCATCCCATAAAAAATCGATGACGTCACCCCAAAATTTTGCTGAATAAATCCTATCTAAAATGTGCAAAATATGATGAGTCTGTACTTGTGATTTATCATTCCATTCATATTTTTTGGATTTGCATATATGTACAGGGTGACTCAAAAAATGTATTTTGGGTTGCCGCTAACCATAAATCACATTCGTCATTTACCCCGAATCACCCTGTATAATCGCTGTGTAATTAGTCGCGTAAATTTGAGTTACTAAGAACTAAATTGTTGAGTTTTATCCACGCCGATTTAATCCCCGATCATCGTAACAATACTTAATAATGTTGATACTACTTAGCTATGTAGATTACTTAAAAATCTCGCCCCGTGTTACAGCAGGCTTATTAAATGCCACAATTTCATGTGTTCCTGATATTTTACAGCTATTCTTAAAGAGTAATTACTAATGACCATAATAATAAGCATCACTGTAAAGGAAGACGGAGCAAGGCGGGATACCCCTTACATTTAATTTAAACACGCCAATGATGGTTCGATGCATACATTAGATTCACTCATGTCCCCTTCAAGCCCTTACGTGATATTACAGCAGGTGGCCATATGCTAAACACGCATCCTTTTTCCCTCAATTCGCTAAATCGTTATTATTTCTGACACTTGAACGACACACATAACCTAATAAAAAGTCGAATATTTTTTTTAAGTACCTATAATGCAGCAAATTTTCGATGTTTCTGATTTTTTTTGTACCTATGTGATCTGTCATTTCCCAAAAAAGATGAAAGTCCAAGATGATAATTTTTTTAGGTATTTTCTACCACCCTTTCTTCCAGTTGCTGATGTTACCTTTAGTACGCTAAACTTTCTTGGTGCTTGATTTACCCCTATTCCTATTCCTATTTCCACACTATTCTTTCTTTTACACCTTATGGACATATAATTTGGTTGTAACAAGACCAAAAGTTGCAGTTTCTTAATAACCTGACTGGTCTTACTAATCCCCAAAAATTCATCCAATTATCCTTAGTTTCCAGATAAGACCATCATACAGCAAACGATTTCTGAACAACCGATGGATTTTGAGGTAACTACAGTTGCTTGAGTTCACCTTAATCTAGCAGGAGATAAAGAACATGTTGAATCGCTACAATCTATCATTTAGGTTTTGGTCATAATGTTATTATAAACATTAGCTTAAACTAATACTAATAAAATAATTACTAGTACAATAGTTTTTTTTTTTTCACTAGCAGCCATGGAGCATGCAAATATCGACTCATTTAAAGGTAGCAAATTCAACTTTTGCTACCACGGGTTCAAAAAGAAGATTGAGGTTATGTACGCAATACTTGATGTGATTATTTCTTAAAAAATGAATAAATTTGTGCTACTAACATTACTTGAGTATACGCATGATAGTTAGTAGACGGTGGGAGATAAAATGATTAACTCAGCGACAAGTGTAAACGGTTTTCTTTGTTTTGAAGATTTAGATTAAGTTTGATTAGAAATCAAAACAAAATAATGTTGCGTCAAAAAATTGAACGTTTATTTTTAATTTATTGTCTTATGGTTTCTACTAGTGAAAAAAATAGTATATTAACTACGGTTGCAAAGCCACTTCTAGACCTCGCGCTTCAGAGCCCTCGACGCTGCGCGTCTCGGGTTCTAATTTGCGCTCGGTCTAGAATGCTTGGCTTTGCAACCTTGGCTAATAATATACAATTTTAAGTCAGCCTCTATAAGCAAATCTAAAAAATATTAATGGAATGATAAATCACAAGTATAGACTGATCATATTTTGCACATTTTAGAAATTTTGGGGGGATAAGCAAATATATTTTGATTAAAAATTCACCATGCTTGTGAGAACTTTAAAACATTTGCAAGATTTCGAAGCATTCGGTTTTGCAAATTCAAAACTAAATTGCAAAATGTTATATACTTACTTTTGATTTTTTTCCAAAAATCTGGACATTTCGGGTAAAAACTCAACACGGATTCATGAAATACACGTGTAGGACTACATTATTTTATACAATTTTACTATGTAAAATAATGTGACGTCATCATGTTTTTGGTGAGGACGATTAGACAAAAGTTTGGTTAGCGTTTTACCAACTGAATGATATAAACTTTGACAAAAATCGGTCCAGTAACTTCGGAGATTATCTCTCTAATAATAAATCTTCACAGACGGCGGACAGACAGACAGACGAACGGAAACGGGAATTCATTTTTTCGTACTGTAGAGATCATGACCTATCGAGAAAATATGAAAGCAGCCTGTCACCCCATGGACTGGATTACAATACTTCCTTAGCTTACGCTTGGAAACTAAAAATAAAATTCGCGGAATCAAATTTTACATTTTATCTAACAAATTGCACTTATTGAATTGACTGCGTCTCAGAGGTGAAGGAAATTCAATGTAAATACCTTTAGACAATTTTTTGAGGACTATTTTCATTATATTTTTTTGGTGTATCATGACCAGATCATTCTCCTGTACATTTGTTTTATTATTATTTATTAGTAT